TCAGGTGCCTCCTCTTTCGTGCTTTACTGCACTTGGCCAGAAATTTAAGTTCTGCAAAAATTGGGTCGGAATCCCAATTGCTTACTTGCTTTTCAAAAAAGGATCAGGTTGCCCAAATTTTCTCAGTTTGCATAACAATGGCATTTTCTAACGGTGCTTATATGCGGCTTGAGTGTTTTTTTGCACAGGGTTCAAATCATGTTTGAGTCCAGTTTGCATTTATTTAAGTTGGATACTATCCAGCGGCTGAAACTCTCTGGAGAGCTTGCAGCAGTTCCTGCCAGGCGCTGAGGATCCTCCTTCGTGCATTCAAAGCCACAGACCCTTCCTTGCAAACCGCTCTTTATTGACCAAAAGCACAAAACACCCGGAATGACTCTCTGAGCATGCCCAAAGTGGCTCGTATTCACCTTCAGGAACTCTCCTTAGGAGCATGCTTGGATCCCATCCCTTGGGAGGGGGGCTTCTGAAAACAAGCCCGCCTCCTTCCTGCATGCCGATCCTCGAATCGGGCTGGCTGCCTCTGCCCACGTCCTGTCATGGGGCCAGGAGCCAGCAACCCTTGAGAATATGCACCCAGAACAGCCCTCTTTCTCGCTCCCCAGCAGTTCCTGAATGGGGCGCAATTGAACTATAGGCCACGATTTAAATGGTCAGTAATACAGAATTTACGAACAGTTTCAAAATTTTAGAACAGTGTAACAATGGAAACATTTTAACACAAAACAAAAATGCTACGATTGGGCATTGGATAGCCTTAGATATCTCTGAATGAAGCACAGTGATCCTCCTTAACATGGCTTCGAAGGGATGGAAGACGGTGCCATGTGGGCCTCCGTGGAGATCATTCCACATTCGGGGTCGCCGCCGAGAAGGCCCTTCCTCCTCGCTGCCCTCCTCAGGTGTCGATCCCAGTGTCCAGGCGGATTGCAGTTGGGAGAGGCTGTCCATCAAGTATTATGGTCGCAGGTCATGGACAGCATTGCAGGCAAAAACCAATCCCTTGAACTGAGCTCAGAGGCTTTAGCGCCTGAAACGTGGGGAATGGTGAGCCATGGATGGAGCAAGGTCACCCGGCGTAGCAGCACTTTCTGTCTTAGTGCACTCTTTGCGAATTGGACCAGTGTGACCGCCGCTTCTTACCTGCTCCATTAGCCATAGAGCATTACGTATCTGTCTTCCTCTGCTTTGACAGAGGGAGTCTTAGGCCAGCTTTCTTCGTAGTTGCGATTACGCCTTGGTAGATGAAACGGACTCTGGGTGGGTCTGTGGTACTGTCCCTCATGCGCTGAATCAGTTAACCAGGTAACGTGATCCATACTATATTTACCAGGCAAATATCCCGTCCAGCACTCACAGTAAACTCCCACAGGTTAAAAGGATCCTTGGGCTTAGCCAGCTTGGGTGTCCAAGTTCTCTTCTACAGCTTGGTATAAACACTTTCTAACCTTTAGTTAGAAAGTCTCCCACAGGTAGCTTAGCGATTAATTGAAACAGTGGGAAGGGGCAGTCCCTGCCCAGAGGCGTGCGTGATGGATTTCCCGCCCATGCAGAGAGCACCGGAGGAGCACTGTGGGTCAGACTTTCAGCAGGGGGGCAGCGGTCCTCCACCTCCCCTCCACAGGCACGTTTGTTCAAGTGAAATTGTGGATTTATCTGGTTTAGCCTTTACTGTGTTAGCTGACCCTCCCAAATAACTCAGGCACCTGCATCCCCCGTGGTCTTGCTGCCTGCCTTCTGAAATGTATGATTTCAGTCTTTGCTTCAGTTGCGTCACGGTCTTGGGTCATTCCTTTAATGCTTCATTAAACGGGTGAGTTAAGATATAGCTCAGTCCTCGAACTTGTGGCAATGCATATGAAACACCATATGTGCAGGATCTGTGTGTTCGAAAACGGATGGGTCCTTCTGGGCATTTAAGGTGCTTCTGAAAGACCTTACCTGAATATGACAATTTCAGTTGTGTAGAGGACGACTGTGCCAGATGTGGAGTCATGTGTAGCTTTGCCCCAAGGATTCTGCTTGGGTTTTGTTTGTACAAAAGGTAGTCATGGTGGCTGCAGTCTGAAGGGGGAGACTGTTAGGGGCTCAGGAAATCCGGTTCAGCTGGGCAGCAGCTCCCTGTGCTCTTAGGACTCTGCACCATGCATGAAGCAGCACATTTTTCTGCCAGGGTTCATTTGAAGGAAGTGGGTCCTGCATGTTGCGATTTGTGTGGAAGTGTGTTTGTCGACCCCAGGACTCCCAGCATCCTGTTCTTTATAAGTGTTTTTATATCCCTCAGTCATATTCATTGGTTAGTTTCAAAAGAATAAAATGCTTCAAATGTAAAACAAAGCAAAAGCTAAAGGTGGCTGAAGAATAAAAGTACCCTGAAATTATCAGTGGGGCTGAAACTGCATCTGAAGCAGCAAAAATGGAAAGGAAGGAGAAAACAGACACCACGCTCACTTCTTTAGGGAGAGTGTTCTGCAGCTGGGGAGCCACTGCTGAGGAGACCTCATTCTGGTAACTGGCTACCTTATCTTGGGTCATGGGGGCACCCATGAGAAGCCATTCCTTGAACATCTTAATATACTGGTAGGTTTTTCTAGAAAAACTAGTTTGGGAACGCTGCCCTATGAGGAGAGATTGAGAGGCCTGGGCATGTTCAGCCTTGAGAAGAGGAGGCCGAGGGGGACATGAGATCCCTCTAGAAGGACCTCAGAGGCTGCCACAAAGAGGAAGGTCAGGAGCTCTTCCTGCTGATGCCAGGGTGCAGGACACGGAATAATCAAGTCAAGTTGCGACAACCCGCATTCATGCTGGGCATCAGGAGAAGCTTCCTCGCTGTCCGAGCAACACGAGAGTGTAGCCAGCTGCCTGGAGAGGTGGGGGGCGCTCCCACACTGGGGGCATTGAAGGCGAAACTGGGTGGCCATCTGTCCAGTGCTGCTCTGAGCAAGGCATTGGGCCTGATGGCCTTCTTGTCCCCTTCCAGCTTTGCTATTAAACATCAAAGACAACGCCAGAGCGGTGCAGCGGTTAAGAGTGTGGGACTGGGACTCGGGTGACGTGGGTCCTAGTCCCCCCTCGGCCATGGAGCCCACTGGGGGACTGGGCCAGTCACGGGCTCTCAGCCCAACCCACTCACGGGGCTGTTGTGGGGATAAGAATGAGAGGAGGAGGAGGATGACGTAGGCCACCTTGAGTTCCTTGGAAGGAAAAAAGGCATAAATATAAGTGATGCTAATATTGCGACTAATAATACCACCTTCGAGTGAGCCTACAAATAGGCTGGGAAGCACAGGCTCCCTGTGGTCGGAGTGGGCCGTCCCAGTTCATGCTCCGGTGCCCCTTGCAGCTTCCAAGCCCTCTTCCAAGGGTGGCGTTGCACAGGATGCCTGCCCGTAGTCTAGCCCGGGCATCAGAGCATGGAGAGCTGGGGCCGGACGCTTGGCAGCGAGATAGAGCGCCTGGCGGGCTGCCACTTGCTGACACGTCAGTTTATGCTGGGTGGGCAGCCCGGCAGCCCAACCTGAGCTGGATTGGCCCTTGCCAAGCTGCATGTTCTGTGAATTCTGCCACAGGTGGCGTGAAGCATAAAGTCGTCCTCCTGTCCCCGAGGCCTTTGGGGTCGGGCTCTGGAGCCATCTGCCTGGCACCCATCTTTGCCATGGGAAAATGTGCCAGCACCTCTGGTTTGTTGCAAGGCTGGCACCCCTCTGGCCCGCCCTGCTCCAGAACGCCTGTGCCCATCTGAGGGGGCTTCATTAAGACTGCCTGGCTTCTCCTCTCATTTAGAACGAGAGCGCTAAGGAGCTTTCTGAGTGCTGCCACGATGTGGGCAGCTGGAAACCGGATAGTTGTGTGGGATGCCAGACGAAAGCAGAAGACTTAATTCTTGCAATCCAGAAACAGCGGGAGGAATATTTGTAGCCAGGGCTGGCTCACCGTGGGCCAGGGGCAGGGGATTGCAGCACTCCCGGGGCCTGGCTGCTGAGGTCTTCCTCAGGTGAGGCTCCAGAAAGGGACTGGGTCTTGCCGAGTGTGTCGGCGAGCTGGAGCGTGCTTCAGGTGGAGACAGGTTGGTGGGAGCTGCCAGCTTGCTGGCGTGTGGGGAACGGCATGAGCCTGACTAGGGGAACAAAGCGTAAGCATTCAAAAAGCGAGGGCAGACTCCCAGAGGCCCATCGGGCTGCGGCAGAAGAAGCATCTCGTTTAGCCCACACTGACGTTAGCCAGACCACGTTATCGGGGGGTCTTGCTGCATGAGGCAAGATCCCTCTTTGGCACACCGCTGATCTCGAGAGGCTGGTTGGCGGAAGGTGCGTGCTGGTAGGAGCTGCGAGTGGCATTAGACTTGGCCTTGGGAGTAACCCAACGTATGTACCTTATTGCTGATAAAAGACTGTGCCAGCTTTCCAGAGAAGTCACCAGGGAGGGCACAGCAATTCCAAGTAAAGCGAGGCTAGCATAAAAACATGGAAATCAGGGCCATAGCCCTGATAAGCCGCCAGAACTGTGTTAGGAAGCGGGTTAAAAGGCCACACCAAAAAGATGCGTCATAACAGATTTTTGAGAAGTTGGGAGGGTGGTGGAGGCAGGGGGCAGTCCCCGTTCTGAAGGGGGAGCATTCCGCTCTTTGGGAGCAATTCACTGGGATCCCTTCCCTGGGTGTCCAACAGATGGGCCTCTGAGAGAGGGCGGCCTCGAAAATTTGCACCTGTAGTGACTGGGCAGGATCACAGGGAGACAGGTGGCCCCTCTGTGGACTTGAAGGAGTAAAACCATCTCCTTGAATTGAACCTGGAAAATTGAACCCGCTGTCCTCCAGATATGATCTCAAGACCGAAAACTAGCCGCGCTTTCCACCAGTCGAAGCTGCTGCCTCAGAGTTGCCTGGGTTGCCAGTGCAAATAGTTGGTTCTGTCACGCAGCACCGAAACTCCATCGGAGCACTCTTCACCTCTGATTGTCATTATCGTAAAACTCCACAGAATGACGCTTTTCATTTGCAGAATCCTAAAACAAGGGAGCAGATCGAAAACCTGTTACGGAATGGAAGGAATAAGGAGCTGCGGGACCGTCTGTGCCGGAGACTGACCTTTGGGACCGCTGGGCTCCGCTCCGCCATGGGGGCTGGCTTTTGCTACATCAATGATCTTACCGTGATCCAGTCGACACAGGTGAGTTTCATGGAGATGACAGACACGTCTCCCGGTCCTTTAACACTGGCTCTTTCACCGTGCGTGCTGCTTTCTGTCCCTCAAGTTCTCATACAACCTTGTTTTGCAAATGAAGAGTGTCTCTTCTGCTAACTCCTCCTAACTTTCTGGCACTGTTGCCCCACAGAGTATGAATGACCTGGATTAGTATAGCGATTGAGAAGTTGCTTTTTTTGCACACGACACTTTATCGATTAAAGGCATTTGTGCCCTCTCTTCAGCTGAGCAGACTCTGGCGCAGCTTACTCGAGGTCGGTGGCAGATAAGATAGTCCCTGTGCACAGGTGTGGAGGACCTGCCCTGCACGCACACGAACAGAATGAGCGGCATGCGCTAGGTGCCCCTAGCCAGGTGGCGCGCTGTGGCCCGTCCTCTCGTGTGAACCCAGGTGGCAGGTGTTGCTCTAAGGTTAGACTGCCTTCAGGTCACTCCAACACAGACGCTGGTCTGTTTGAGGGTGGCCTAAATTTGAAGCCGCCCTTGCCACCTGCATTCATGCGATACGGCGAGAGGCACTTGCGTGACTCGAGCCCTGCCGGCAAATTAGCCCTCGGGGGGCTGTCGCCCCGCGGGAACCAGGTCGGTGCCTGGGCCACCAGACGCCCAAGCGCTGGGTTTTGTCCTGGGTAGGAGCCCCAGGGGAGACTCTCTGGAGCAAACAGATCGCAGCCTTCTTGCCCATGACACGGCCACCGGGGGGCTGCCCACAGAGAAGCCAAACGCTGGTGACCCAGCATCCACAGCGGGCTCTGCAAGTTGCCCCGTGCCCAGCGTGGTCCCCGTCCCACAGTTCAGGGTGGCACGGCTGAGATTTCCGAGTTCCTCCAGAGAGCCATTCCCCACAATGGGCTGCTCTTTAACTTACTGTTTGCATGTATACACTGAGCCTCTCACATTGTCGACGTAATTTCCTGTATAGGCATCAGTAACATGCTGAACGCTTCCACGCACACCTGCTTGTTACCAGCCCCACAGAGCGATATGTGTGCCTGAGGGGGGCTTCTAGGAGCGGGGTCTGGTTCAGGTGTACCTGCTCTCCTCTTGGAAACTTGCCTTCTTGGGGGCGGGCCTGGCTTTCGGGGAGGGCCGTGCACGTGGGTGCATCTTGTTGAGCGGTTAAGGAAGCAGGCAGAGCTTTCCGGCTGGTGTGGGCTGTTGACATTGGAGCTGTTCATGCGCTGACAGCCTGGAGGGCACGTGCTTCCTTTGTGTTTTGGTTTGCTAAAAGCATGAGGAACTCTGGATTGGCTGACAAGAAGGAATAAGCACTCTTGGCAGAAAATGCCGGTTTGGACACCAGGGAGTCTCCCAGGCTGCATCGTTTTGCTCGCTCCGTAGGTCATGTTCTTTCTTGGCGCTTGTTTACTTTGGTATTTATTTTGGGTTGCATAAGTAAGCTTTCTCTGACAACTAGATTAAACCAGAGGAGTTTTTGTGGCTTCTTAGGTTTTTTCCCTACCCTCAGTTTGCTGAGGGCAGTTTTTTCCCTCCTTAACTCGAAGGTTAAGTCCAGAAAGTAATCTGGGCAAGCTGCCAGCTGTGTGGCTTGCTTTAAACAGACCCAAACTTGTTTTTCCATGGTCCTGAAGAGAAAATTAATATGGTCCGGGCTGGTCTGTCTTTACCATAGTGAGTAGCTACAGCTTATTGTCCAAGCTGCACCAAAGTAGAGGGTTCTGTGGACGCATCTTGGGTCATGTGCCAGGCCCACATCCGTTGGCCAGCTTGTAAGCAGAATTAGTGCCTTTACTGCAGCCGCTTGTAATGTTCGTGCCTCTGGTCTCCCCCGCACGTGGTGCCCTTGGACAGGTGTGCTCCCGTGCCCAGGATTCTCTTCTGAGCTTGCTTGCAGACAGAGATCCACCTGCACAGGTGTGTACACGCCCCCTGTTCATTCCCCCAAGAAGGCTATGGTGGCTCAGGAAATGTTCTCTATGCAACACAAGCATGGCTGTGGCCTGCAGAAAAGGTCTTGGGTTTCTGAAGGTGACTCGCAGTTCTTACGTCGCTGCTTTAGCTGTGGCTCACTAGGGTTATGCAGCTGCCTCCAAGGTCCTGGATTCCCCCCTCCCTTGCTTAGGGTGGCAGACTGCCCAGCTGGAGATGGGGCTTGAGGGTTACATCCCTGTGAAATTTCACTCCCCGCCACAGATGTGCTGTTGGTGTTAGTCACGGCATTGGCTGGTAGCTGGGGAGGAATGAACAGCTTTGGGTTATGTTATGTTCTTCTTTTAGCATATCTTGGCTGGCTTGCGACGGCCACTGGGAACTATGTACAGCTCTTGCTTTTACTCTGGGACACCTGCTTTATTTAATTTTAATTTTAATTTTAATTTTAATTTTAATTTTAATTTTAATTTTAATTTATTTAAAACATTTCTGTGCCGCCCCCATCACAACAAAGCCTCGGGGCGGCTCACAACAAAAACTTTCGGACACATTTTGTCCTGGGATGTCCTGAGCAGGTTGCTGCATGGATGGGGAGGGGCTGGCCAGAGCGGGCCTCTCCCAACTCTGATTCTGCAGGTGGTCCTCCTAGCATCCCTCTGGCTGATTCTGCTTCGTGGTTTTGTGGTTAGGCTGGGACCAAATCTTTTGAGTCCAGATTTAGTTTACCCCCAGGTAAGTTTGTGGAAGGTCGCCTGACAGGCATCCTCAGAGCCTTTCCTGCCCACAGTCTGAAGGAAATAAGCCACTCCTGGGTTTCCAGTCCTTTTGCAGAGCTGCTCCTTCTAAGTATGTCTGTGTGGAAAATAGAACGGGCATGAAATGGCACCTGCAGTTCTTCTCATACGAATTTGCACTCCCGTTGTGGCATCCCAGCTAAATCCACAGAGCGGTCAGAATGACAAGGGAAAGGCTTTGCATTCCAGTCTCACTGAGGATCGGATGAGCGCGCCGACTAGCTGGTCAGCATCCCATGACTGGGATTTGTCTCGCCAAAGTGCCAGGAGCTTAATCAGCATTCAGGTTCTGAGTCTCTGTCCGTGCAGGCTTTTTGCTGAGTTAGAGATGATGTAGCCCGTGGTGCGTGAGCGGAGCCCCAGCCCAGCAGGACTTGTGCAAAACTGGACAGGACAGGACAGGACAGGAAAGCTCTCCCTAACCCGGCAGGCAGAAGTGAAGCAGGAAAGATGCTGTTATGTCAGGTACCCTAAAAGCGGCCTTGGTACCCAGAGTTTTCAAGACAAAGTGAAATTACAGGTTAGGGTGCCAAGCATTTGGAGATGGTTACGGTATGCAGTGAGGTCTGCCTGTAATTCTGGAGGTATCACAGGATAGTATCCACAGAGCTAGAACATTCTAGCATTTGAATCAACTGCATTTGCACTAGCACATTTTGGGAGAATGTCGCAGAATCACAGGATCATGGAAGAGTAGAGTTGGAAGGGGCCAGAAGACGTTGAGTCCACCCCCTCTCCACAGCACAGGGCGCAGGTTAAACCATCCAGGTCAGAGGGCTGTCCGGATGGCTGTCCAGCTGCATCCTGAACGCCTCTAGCGAGGAAGAGCTCACCACCTCCCTAGGTCATGGCATCCACTGCTGTACTGGTCCAAGAGTTAGGATTTTTTCCCCTGGTATCTGGTTGGAATCTGGCTTCTGGTAACTTGAGCTCGTTATTCCATGTCCTGCACTCTGAGAGGATCAAGAAGGAATCCTGCCTTCCTCTTTGTGGCAACCCTTCAAGTGCACATACAGTGCTGTTCTCTCCCCCTCAGCCTTCTCTTCTGGAGGCTGAACATGCCCAGCTCTTTCGCTCTCCTTTCAGGGGGCGTTGCCGCCGGTCCCCGGATCATCCTTGTTGCCCTCTCTGGGCCCTTCCCAGCTTGTCTGCATCTTTCTTCAGCTGTGGTGACCAGAACTGGACACAGGATTCCAGATGCGGTCTGACTAGTGCTGAATAAAGGGAGCTAGTACTTAACTGGGTTTGGACGTGATACTTCTATCAATACAGCCTAAAATAGCATTTGCCCTTTTTGCAGCAACTTCACGTTGTTTGCCCATATTTAGCTGGTGATCGGCAACAATTCCAAGATCCTTCCCATCTGCAGTATGCGTCCCTATTGAATTTTATTCTGCTGCTTTCAGCCCACGGCATTCTAACTGACCAAGATCACCCTGGGCGTTCCTTCTGTCCTCCAGGGTACTGGCTGTCTCTCCCAGTTTTATGTCATCTGCAGATCTGACCATCATTCCCTGCACTTCCTCATCCAAAACATTAATGAAAATGCTGAGCTGAACTGTGCAGGACGCCACTGGTCACCTCTCTCCAGTTTGAGAAGGTGCCACTGATGAACATCCCCTTTGAGTCCAGTTCCATAGTCAACTTTGGATTCACCTGATCGTTGTTCCATCTAGCCCAATTTTAGCTAGGTTTGCTAATCAGGATATTATGGGGCACTTTGTCCGAAGCTTTGCTAAAGTCAAGGCAGATGATGTCTGCAGCATTTCCACAGTCCATCAGGGAGGTTGCCCAGTCAGAATATGAGATAGAATCAGTCTGGCAGGATTTGTTCTTGAGAAATCCATGTTGGCTTCTTGTAATCACTGCATGGTTTTCAAGGCGTGGTTCTGAGAGTTCTTCTGCCAGCTCCTTTATCTCCTCTAGGCCCTGGAGATTTGAACTCATCCAACCCAGTTTCTTACTTTCTGTTTGTTTCTGCTGCCCTTACAATCCAGTGGTCAGTGCTGGACTGAGGACTGTGGTTGATGAAAGACGTCCACGAGGAGCTGGTTAAGAAACCCACAGAAATTACCCCCACTTTTAAGAAGCAAGCCTGCGTTTTATCATGCCCCCTTTTCTGTGGCCAGCATGCAAAGGCAGGATCCCAGTCTCCGAGGAGGCTAGTTTAAAAACTACCTTCTGCCGAACAGGCTGGCAGAGCGGGTGGCATGGGGGGACGGGCTTCCTCCTCCATGGGTCTGCCCACTTGCTTTGCTGGGCACTGATGGGGGAACGGAGCCTTCTGCTTCTCCTCTGCCGGCCCACAGTCCTGGGTGGAATTCCTGATTGCCTGTAGCTTCCAGGTGGAACGGGTCAGAAAATTAAAAGGTGAGGCTCAGATTGTTCTGATTCTGAAAACACGAAAAGCATAACTTAGTTAATATTAATAATCAGAGCATCTGCCTGTCAGCCTTACAGGTACATCTCTAGCATCGGCCTCCTCGTTCAGGTGCCGCTCCATAGTCTGCGGCAGGACGGAGCCTGGCCGCCCCCCCCCCCCCCCCCCCCCCCGAACCCAGCAGGCCCCTTCCTCTTCTAGAGCGGCTGCAAAGAGCTTGCAAGCTTTTCCTTCTGTTTCTGCCAGACCACACCTTGTGACATCCAAGCTGACAAACCAGGATTAACATTAGCTTATTTTGAACAACCCAACTTTAAACCCCGTGTTGGGAAGTTGGCTTGTTTATGCAAACCACACTTACTTGGCAAGCACACGGACTGCACGCATCACCGGAATGCCTGTCCGCAAGGGACGGGGCCCAGGCATATTCATCAGGAGAGTTCCCGGAGGTGAATACTGGATCGGGTTCAACAAGCCACTCTGTGCGTGCTCAGAAGTCCATTCTAAGTGCTTTTTTTTGGTCATTAAAGGGCACTTTGCAAGGAAAAGGTCTGTGGCTTCTGCACGCATGAAGGCGGAACCCCAGCTCCTGGCAGCTGTCGTGAGAAGGGCCCTGTGTGGGCCTTGCAGGCGTGCATAGCGTGGCGAGGAGGCGGCCCGGCCGTGCGAGTGAGGCAGCAGCGTAAAAAGGACGGCAGTCTCTGTCCATGTGAAGCTGCGACTCTCGGTTAAATTTGTGCAATTGTTTAGGAACCGTTTGACGAAGTATCAGAAGAGTATCTGATTTAAATTGCATCAGCAGTTAAAATTGGCCTCCCTCCCTCCCTTTCATTTAAACCCTTGGTTTAAATTCACCTCCACTGCACCAGGGCTGTGCAATTCACTCTGCGGGAGTGGTGCAAGATGACGATGTGATTATGCTGTATTTGTAGCTAGCTTTCTCCAGGGCCACCGAAGAACAAAGGAAGGCAATCTAAATGAAAAATAGAGCTTGCCTGTCCTTGTTTAATACAGATTATATGTCCGTGGGGCAGACGATCCTGTGCCAGGATCTGCCCTGTGCCAGTGGGATAAGGAGGATCTAAACATTTTAGCAGACGGTGGCCTTTCATGCACCTGCCTCTCTTCTGCTTGGTTGCAGGGGATGTACAAATACCTTGAGAAATGTTTCTCAGACTTCAAGCAGCGAGGTTTTGTCGTCGGCTATGACACGCGAGGCCAGGTGACCAGCAGTTGCAGCAGCTTAAGGTAAAAGTTTACTTGAAGTCTAAAGACGGGCTTGGAATAGCTCGGTTCCTCTCGGAACAGCAGCTCCGAACACTTTGGGAGCGAGATGAAATCTGGAAGATGTCGCTGTTCCGTCTTCCACACTGCGGATTTAATTTCACTCTGAAGGGGGAGGAGAAGAGCAGAAAAACCGATTGGGAGAGGTCTGTGTTGAGTAACTCAACCCATGGATCCGATACCTTTCCCGGAACAGCACCTGTTGCGCAGGCCTGGCTCTTTCCGTGGCTGCGTGTTTACACATGCGCTGATGAAACCATTGATCATCGTCTGTTGACACCATTGCATCAGCTCTGGAGCCACGGCTCCCCCCCTTGCCCCACGGAGGTAGGGCTGGGATCCCGGGGGAGCACGGAAGCTGCCCACAAACCTTCACGGTGCCTTGTAAACGCGCCATTGATGACGCAGGCAGTTTGTTTGCTCATTACGCCCGCATGGCATGGTGCTTAGCGTGTTGGGCTGGGACTGGGGCGTTTCCATGAAACCCGCTGGGTGTCTTTGGGCCAGTCACTTAGGCTCAGCCTAGCTCACCTCAGCAGGTCGCTGTCAGGATAGGATGGAGAGGAGGAGGGAGACCATGTGAGCCATGATGTGGCAACAGCAAGAATGGGACAGCTGAACAGGAAAAATGTGTGTAAGTCGGGGTTCAGAAATCCGTCCTGTGTTCATCCCATTTATGCAAGTAGAGAATGTCTCGGGAGGGGGAATGGCAGAATTAGTGTGCAGAGATGTAAAGCTTAAACCGCTCAGAGGGCGTTTCTGGTTTGTTCATTTGTTTTTACAAGGCAAGATGTAAACCTGAACGGGCGCAGTCCTGGGGGCAGCCTTAACCCTGAGGGAGCAATGGACTGCCTGCGACCCGGGTCCCTGGCCTGATTTCAGCTGGGGAGGTTCCTTGGCTGAGGACTTGGGGGGTGGCGTGGGCCTTGTTCTTCGCTCGTGCCTCGTTCATCGCGCCTCGTTCATCGCTCATGCCTTGCCTTCCATAGACTTGCCAAGCTCACGGCTGCAGTCCTGCTCGCTAAGGGAGTGCCCGTCTACCTGTTCTCAAGATACGTTCCAACACCTTTCGTGGTAAGTGGCTGCCTTTTCTTTAACGCTTGTAGCCTACAGACAGCAGTTTATGACTCGGATCCACCGACTTTACTGAATTCCGTGGTGGTGCGACTTCAGCAAAGTTGTGTTCTGTCGGACTTCACGTACCGGTCTTGTTATAGCACCAGTCTCTGCATGCAAGAATGGTGGATCGATCTCTTTGACACTTAAGGAAGAAATTATGAACCAGAACAATGGTTAGCCCTCTGTCTTATGGATCAAATGATGTTTTTGTAGTGGTTATATGTTAGAGTTGAAGGAGACAATTTGCATCCCTGTCTTAGACGCATTTTAAAGTTCTGTTTGTAGCAGTGTCAGCACCTGCAAGGGAAGCGGCATTCCTGGTCGACCGTCAGGTGACGTCTTGTTTTATTCTAGTAGCAGTAATTTTGATGTGTTCATGCCAGAGATGGAGAGGCTGCGCACTGGGCGTGTGTTTCTTTTCTCAGATGTCCTCTTTGCCATGGCTACAGCTTGTAGCTTGGGGATTTTAAGCAATGAACAAGTAGTACAACGACTAGTTACGGAGTCCCAAAGTCATGGAGGGTGGAGAATCCTGAGCTGTAACACACTGAGCGAGCCCCCAAGTCCTAGTGGACTTCACACTCTTGTGTCCCACGGCAAGTTGTAGAGCAGCCTGCGCTTTGACCGTCAGCGGCTTTCAAGCGCCCACGGCTGCTTTCCGCCTGCAGCGCTTGGATGCCTTAAGGAGAACGCTGAGCACACTTAAGACTATTCGAAGTCGTGTAAACACGCCAGAAGAACTGGACTGAAAGCAGAGGCGTTATTTGGGAAGAATGCAAAAAGACCATCACTGGAGCAGAAGGAGAGAAAAGGCCCAGATGGGTGACGGAAGGCTCACCATGCCTAAGGACGAGCAGGAGGTGACAGAAACAGGACCTGCGTCCTGAGTGCAGCTTTTCAGGGACTGCCACACAGAGGCAGAGAGAACTATTACAGTGACTAGTGCAAAGCAATAGACGAGAACAACGAAAGAGGGAAAACAGGAGACCTCTTCCAAAAGACCCAAGGAATCGGTAATTCAGACCTAGATTAGGAAGGTTGAGGGACAGAGGAACATACTCTCTGACCAGAAGAAAACAAAGGCAAGGTGGAAGAACTATGCACGAGAACGAAACAGAATAGATGGAAAGATGGCAGGATGGTTTCTTACAGGCAAAGGTATCGGACAAGAATATTTTTTATTTCCCTGTCTGTTCAGTCTTTATATAAAACATATATGGAAAGCTGGATTAGGATCAGAGGAAGGAGGAAAATCGGTGGGAGATACATCTATAATACAAGCTATATAGGAGATTCCATATTATTGGCAGAAAGCAGCAGTGAATTGAAACAACTCCTGATGAAAGTGAAAAAGCAGACTGCAGCCGAGCATGAGGAAGATACAAATCACAATTACAGAACTGTGTGTTAACACCGAAGGCATTGAAATTGGGAAAGATCCTGAATACTTTAGTTCAGTCCTCATTTCAAAGGGATGCTGCAGCTGAGAAATTTGAGGGAGGCAGACGTGGGAGGGCAGAAATGGACCAGAAAGGCCACCCGGTGTAAGGGCATTTCACTGGAGACCAAGGCCAAGCTCATCCGCATGATCGTATCCCCAGTCACTATGTCTAGGGGTGAACATCGCACAGTGCAGAAAGCTGACCAGAAAAAATAGAGGTGTTTGAGACATGGTGCTGGAGGAGAAATTTGTGGATTTCCTGAAAGGACAGACACCTGAATAGGTGTGTCCCAGATCAAATCAAGCAGCACTGTCCCTGGAAGCAGAAATGACAAAGTTGATGCTGTTACGTGTCGGGTGCGTCAAGCGCAGGCAAGACTCCCGGCCAGGGAAATTTGAGGGCAGAAGAGGAAGACCAAGCACAGGCCGGGTTGACGCCATCAAGGGAGCCACCACCTTGCGCTTGCAAGAGCGGAGCAGGGCTGCCGAGGACGGGGCAGTCTGGGGGCTTTCATGCGTGGGGTCGCCATCAGCAGCTGAGGTGGCAAAAGAGGTCACTTTCTGCAGCTGGACGGCCACCTGGAGAGAAGGCTTAACCCAGAGTCCAGCCCTGAGCCGAGGAGGAAGCCAGTGGCCCTCGTGGCCCCACCCAACTCAAGTAGTCCAGGATTCTTCTAGATTGCACCCATGAGCTGCCGGCCAGAGTCCAGCCACGCATGTTAGTGTTTCTGTAATGGTTGGGTATGTGTGAAAACTGCTGACGCCGTCTTGGATGTCATGAGACCATGAACTTACATAGAAAGATATATCTAAGCAGTTGTAAATTGTGATGTCTTTTCCTTGTTATTTTAATGCTTTACCTTGTAAACAATCTGTGGTTGGCATTGGGCATTCCGGGTCCGCGTTGAGCAGATGTGTGGCGCACCTGTGACGGGTTCCCGAGGCTCCGCCAGGAGTTCTGGTGCACTGGGACCGACAGGGATTTTCTCTTGCAGCCGTACGCCGTGCAGCAGCTCAGAGCAGTCGCTGGCGTGATGATCACCGCTTCCCACAACCGGAAGGAGGACAACGGCTACAAGGTACGCTGGGAACACCGTCCGTGCCTGCCAGGGTCGGACAGTGGGCGAAGGGGCGGAGGAAGGGCCACTGTAATCTGTTGTTGGAAGGCGTGTCCACAGATCCAGGATCTTGAAAACCGGCATGGTATGTGGGTTGTACTCTCTCTTACTGGGAGCCAGTTAGGGCAACCTTGAAGCTGCTGGATATTATTATTATTATTATTATTATTATTATTATTATTATTATGACATTTCTATGTCATAATAATGTCTATTATTATGTCTATTATTATGTCTATTAAATGTCTATTATTATGACATTTCTTGCCGAGGCTTCGGCAAGGGCGAATAAAACACAACAAAATAAAATAGAATACAATACAAAAATAACAATATAAAATTAAAATTAATAATATAAAATAAAAAATATAAACGATATAAAAGAAGTTAAAAAAGAAAAGTTGTAAAAGAAAAGAAAAGAAGTCGCCCTAGCCAGGTAAATAAGCAAATATTGTTAACAATTAAAATGACGTTTAAATAAAAAGGACTTGGCCTGGCGCCGAAAAACAAATAACGACGGCGCCAGGCGGACCTCTCCGGGGAGCGCATTCCACAGACTGGGCGCCACCGCAGAGAAGGCCCTCCTTTGGGTACTTTGCCTCCTAATTTCCTTCACGGAGGGCTCCCGGGGAAGGGCCTCTCCCGCTGATCTCAAGGGGCGGCCGGGCATATATGGACGCAAGCGCTCCTTCTGTGCAGCAGACCCCTCCTTCCCCTTCTTGACGTCACTCATTTCTGCACTGGCCACGTGCTCCAACCGTAGATAACAAAATACTGAACACGCCCTCGGTGGCTCTTCTCTTCCTGACTCTCGCATGTCGACTGTGCTGCCCTTCCTTGTCTCTCTTGCGAACTCTGCTCCGCGGTGCTCGGGTTCGGGTCGAGGTTTTGCTTTATACGTTTTGTTTATTTTTAATGCAAGCCACTTTGAGAATGCCTGCACAGAAAAGCGGTAAAGAAATACTGTAAATAAATACTGTACATGTGCCACTACTGTATTTTGCTGAGTTAGCCCCACTGCGGGCTTTTCTGCAACTGTCACTGTATCTTTAATATTTGCTCTCGGTGCGGCTTGGAGCTCGAAAGCAATGCAAGCCCTGCGTGCACTGAATGAGCTCTCACTCCAGGTGTACTGGGAAAACGGGGCTCAGATCACATCTCCGCATGACAAAGAGATCCTGAAATGTATCGACGAATGTGTTGAGCCCTGGAATGACTCCTGGAATGAGAATCTGGCGGACAGCAGCCCTCTCACCCGAGACCCTCTGCAGAAAATATGTGCGAGCTACATGGAAGATCTGAAAAAGATCTGTTACCACAGGTAAGAAAGGCAAGCCAAGCCAAGGCGTATTCGGAGAGCGTGGCGGGCGTGTCGTGAGCGGAGCCGGCTGGTGCCGGGGGTCAGCCCAGATGGCCCGGGAGGCCCCTTGTGGCTCGCTCCGTTTCTCTGTTTCTGACTTCTGCTCCTTGGCGGTCCTTGGAGGCGGGAGGCTCAGAACTGGGCAGGGCAGAATGCAGGGGCCGTGGCGGCTCCCCCATAGGCTCGCGGGTGGGAAAAGTGAAGGGCAGCTGTTGGCCCCGCGGATGTCTCAGAGCAGGCATGTTCAGATAATTTGCAGGCAAGTAAGAGATGCCAGGTGCTGCAGAGCCGACTTTCAAAAGTTCATGCTTGACTGTGGGTATCCCTCCGTAGCTCTCATTCCGGTGGGTAACGCGAGAGATGCGGAGCGGTCAGAACAGTAAGCGCTTCTCCCGAAGTGCTCTCACGCCCTTATTCCTGCCGTCGTCATCCGGATGTCTCAGCTTGCTTGTTGATCCATCCAAGATTCCAGGGCTGTTTACTGAAGTAGTGAAAAGAATATGCCAGCAATAAAATAGCACACACCGTATGATGGCGATGCGGGTCTGGTGTCCAAAGAGAGCAGAGTGACGCATGTGACTTTGGTCTGTGCTGGAGAGGCTGCTGGCACCTGCATCCAGGGGGTCGCCGTCCGCGGCCTGCCAGGAGGGCAGCGGGGGGTGTGGGCACGGGGGGAACAGAGTAAGTGGCACCGAGGAGCCAGAGTGGGGCTGGCGAGGGCGCCTGGGTTGGGATGCATCTGCAGGACTGGCCGGAGCGGGTGGGGTGCCCCCAGCCCTGCTGCAAAGGAGTCCGGGCAGTTGCAAGTTCGGAGGGGAATGGAAGTTGGCTCGGCCTGGATGCCACCGAGAAGCCCGTGGCCCTCTTCCTGGGGCAGTCATGCCCGTTAGAGCTGCCGTGAAAAATCACAGCAAGAATGCAGCAACTTGGTGGTCTTTTGCGCAGCCTTTTCGAAAATGGAATCTAGAAAGGGCAGGGCTGGTGGCCAATCCAGTGTTTGGTTGGGATCCCTGGTATCCCCCTCAGTCGCCCTGCCCGCCCGAGGGACGGGCCTTCCTGGCTTGCCACCCTCTCGTGCCTGGCTGTGCCCCCCTTGGAAAGAACGGCCCCTTTCCGAGGCCTGCTGCTGCTTCCCTTCCAGGGAGCTGAACACAAAGACCCACCTGAAGTTTGTCCACACGTCTTTCCATGGGGTTGGTCATGACTACGTGCAGCTGGCTTTCCAGACGTTCGGCTTCCAGCCCCCCATTCCAGTCCCCGAACAGAAGGACCCGGACCCAGACTTCTCCACGGTGAAGTGCCCAAACCCCGAAGAGGGGGAGTCCGTGCTGGTGAGTGTGGCGCACGACCCGGGGGAGGCCCTGGGTGCCGGTCCCCAGCCGGCGTCCCGCGCGCAGGCTCACCCGGCGACTGAGAGGAACGAACGGCCTCTTCCAGGAGCTGTCTCTGCGCCTCGCGGAGAAGGAAGCCGCCCGAGTGGTGGTGGCCACTGACCCGGATGCGGACAGGCTGGCTGTGGCGGAGCGGCAGGAGAAGTGAGTTCGGGGGGGGGAGTCCACCCCCAACTCCTTGCGGGCTCTCTGGGAGGCGCAGCCTTCCATCTCTGGCTTGTCTGATCGTTGAAGCTCATTTTCCAGGTTGGGGTGGGGCCTTTCTGTGGCTTTGCATTAAAACATAAGAGAACCCGCCTGTCCTTTGTCACCGGTATTTCCAGAACAGAATCAAATGGCCGGAGGGGGCCCATTGGGAGCCCTGTGATCCCTCCTTTGGCCGGCAATGTTTCTGCGCCTGCCTTCCCCAGGCAGCAAAGGTCTCTGCGCAACGGCTGGGCCTCCAGTTGTCTCCTCCTGGCTGTGGCTTCCCTGCCGGCCGTGCTTTCTGTCCCTCCGGCTCTGCTGAGCGGCGGCTGTGCTGTCCACGGTGCTGACGGCGTGCCAGGGGAGCCCTCTGGCGAACGCCAACGCCCGCGGAGTGGCTCTCGCCCTCTCGCCCTCCCCGTCGCCCGCAGGGCTCCTCGCGTCCTCCCACCCAAGCCGAGCCGTGCGGCCTCCCTCCGCTTTCTCCCCCGCCTCCATTTCCTTCCCTGTGGCCCTTCCTGCTGGAAGGCTCTTCCGCGCAGCTCCTCCCTCGGCGAGCTCTCCCTCTGCCTGATCTTGGCCTGCTAAAAAGCCGTGTTGGATCGGGTCCGGTCCAGTCTAGTCCCGCATTCTGCTCCCACCGAAGCCAAGCGTGAAAGCCCCCACCCCACCCTTCACATCTGGTTTTGACCAGGTGCCTGCCTCTCGGTACCAGAGGTCACTGTGGCCGGTACCGTTGATGGCCTGATCCTGCACCACGTGGCCCATTTCCCTTTGAAAGTCCTCCGTGTTGCAGCCTCTGCTTTGTCCGGTCTTGCTTTTCCCTGAGAACCGTGCAGAGGTGCCCCCAGGGAAGGGAGGGGCTGGTTCAGATGGGAATCGGTAGAGAAGTGTTCCATAGCGTGGATGCTGGGCTGCGTGGCCCAAAGCAGGCGGGGGCGCTGGCATCGCTCTTGATGGCCGGATGTTCCTTGGACAGAACCGCTCCCCTCATCGAACAGACCCCAGCCGAATGGTTTCCATAACTGTAGAGGGAGCGGGGCTGAGTTCCTCTGCCTTCGCATCCCTGTGGGCACGCCTGTTGCTTTCTGATGCTGTCTTTTTTCTTCTTCAGTGGCCGTTGGAAAGTTTTCAGTGGCAATGAGCTGGCAGCTTTGTTTGGGTGGTGGTTGTTTACTTGCTGGAAGGAGAACCGCTCGGCCGGCGCCGATGTCGGGAACGTTTACATGTTGGCCACTACCGTCTCCTCCAAGATCCTGAAGGCCATTGCGCTCAGAGAGGGGTTCCACTTCGAAGTAAGGGCCTCATCCTCTCTTCCGGTCCTCATCACCCCTCCCGGCACCTGCAGCTCGTGGGCCCTTCCCTTCCACTGCCCCGGAGACTTCTGGGTCCGGGGACACTGACTCTCCTTTGGCTCCCTGTGGGGAAGGACTGTTGCCTGCGCCCAGGGCGGGTTCAGGGAGACACCGAGGCATTCAGTGGGGTGCGTCAAGGTGGCGCATTCATGGTAGAGTGCAAAATCTTCTGGCATTTGTGGTGGGGTGATGGGACGCTGCCCTGGTAAAGGGTTTGCGTTCTGAGGGGCAGCAGAGCAGGTGGGAAGAGCAAGTGGGTTGTTAAAGGGCATGCTGGAGCAGGCTTCAGGATGTTTTCGACTGCAGCTCCCATCATCCCCAGGCAGCAGGGCCGGTGGCCATGCTGGAGGGCAAAGCTGTTGGCCTTTGACCAGCCTCTTCAGCTTTGGGACTGTTTCTCCAATCCGGAACGTGTGCAGCTGTCTGTGCTTGGGTTTTGCACAAAGAGATCCCCGCCCTTTCTTGCTGCTGGCGCTTCCCTTGTTGTGGCTGGGCTGAAAGCCTTCCAGCTCCGGCTTTCTGTGATTTAAAAGCTCGCAAAGCAAACCGCTGGAAGGGCTGAGGAGAAGCTGGCTGCAGGAACCCTCCGGATCCTCCCGTGGCTGCAACCCTGTCGGCCCTCTGGCGGGCGTTCTGGGGGTGGCGGCTGCAGCCCCTCTGCTGCGGGGCTCCTTCGTTCCTGGCAGCCTTCAGTCCAGGCCCTCCCTCCACTCGCCCTTCGCGGAGATTATTCTGTGATACCACGGCCCGCTGAGCCCGTCCTTCCATGTGCTTGCGGGGTGTGCGTCTGTCTCTGTGTTTCGGAAAGGAAACGTCTCCCATTGCTTCCAGCGTTCGAGAGCCAGCTGGATAAATCCCCTAAATGCGCACACCCTTTTGCAGCGGGTGGCGAGTGAGACTCCCGCACTGATTCTGGTTTTCAGAATGCTCTCATTGGAGCCGACTAGGTTCCCTCCTCCCCCCACATCCTAATCGCCGTACTGGAGATGGGGAGAAATCCCTCCCCTCCGCCCCCCCCACCAGCTCCAAGGGGAAGCTTTTCTTCCGCCTGGCTGCCAGGGAAGGGGGGCAGCCCTGCATGTGCCTGCAGGGCAGCAGTGGGCATCGGAGGGGGGGGAGGCCCTGCCCCCCCTTGTTTCACCTCCGCCCACTCCTGCCGGCATCCCCGGGGAGGGGAGCCCCGGGGGATTTCGCCCCTAGGATGGAAGTGCTTTCCCACACGCTCATGGGGCAGGCGGCCTTGGACGCAGGGTCACCGACTCCCGAGCTCGCTCGCTCGCTCGCTCTGGCTTGGCTCGCGCAACTGCCGCTCTAGGCCCCTTTGGGGTTGCGCACACAGTCGGGGCTCTCCGGAGGCCTTCCGGGGCACCCCTTGACCGCCCCCCTGCCTTGTTCCAGGACACCCTCCCCGGCTTCAAATGGATCGGCAGCAGAGTGAAAGACCTCCTGGACAGCGGCAAAGAAGTCCTGTTTGCCTTCGAGGAATCCATCGGTGAGCCGGAGGGGGTTGGGTGGCCACGCAGTCCTCGTGCTGCGGCCGCTGGATTTCTCCCAGGGTTTCCCGTCGCAGGCTGGAACGGAGCCTTCGCACGAGAATGCCTCGCCTTGTTCTCCCCGTTCGCTGCACGGACGTGCAGTTTGTGTGGTTTATTGCCACTTGCCTGCTCTGTGGGATCCAAGGGGCCCTTCAAAAGGACCAACAAGGGCGGGGGGGCTCAATGCATCGGTTGTGTTTGTTTAGAGTTCCCTTAGCCACTTGGTTCATTGTCATTTGCGTTGTCGATTTTAGCCTGCTTCGTTTCGTATTCCTTCTAATGGATTTGTTCATGTTAAGGAAATAAAACTCAACCCCCCCCCCCCGAAATGCTCAGGGTGCAACCTGCCGGGGGCTCTCCTGGGAGTCCTTCCATGGAGTGGGAGTGGGGGCCCATCTGAGGGCACGCCTGGGTCTCCCACCCCACTCCTTTCTCGGGGAGACCCGGAGGCACCGGGGCTTCGCGGCTGCACCGTCCAGACTGGTTGCAGCTCTGGCTGCCGGGTTTCCCTTGCAGAGGGCCCAGTGCGTGGGGGCTTTGGCTCACACAGGGCGCGCGGCCAGGCGGTTGCCGTCCCTGCGGGCCCTCGCGGGGGCAGCCGGCTGCCCTTCCCAGGCTGCAAAGCGTGCAGTTGACATGTCTCTCCCTCACTGCCCCCGGGACCATTTCCTGCTCGCTGCGCAGCCGCCACATTCCTGTCACTGTCACTGTCACCGACCGAGATGTTTGCCAGCCCCGCTCAAACCGCAGCCAAAGAAATACGCTGCGGCTCTCGCAGGCGCGAGGCCGAGCTGCAGCCTGGCCCAGGCAACCCGTGGCCCCTTTCTGCCGCTCCCCTCTCTGGCTTTGTGTTTGTCCGTCAGTGGGGGGGTCAGGTTCAGGGACGCCCGCATGGCCCGTTCAAAGCGGCGGCGCTGCTCTTAGGGCGGACGGTCTTCTGATCCCCAGGTTTCATGTGCGGCACTTCGGTGCTGGACAAAGACGGCGTGAGCGCAGCCGTGGTGATCGCTGAGATGGCGGCCTGCCTGGATGCCCGGGGCCGGACCCTGGCCCAGCAGCTGGCCGAGATCTACAGAACGTGAGTCCCGCTCTCGGCTGGCAGAAGAGCGCTGCGCCGCGCCTCGGCCGCTCCCCCGGCCGATTTCCCTGCCGCCAGGACTCCCCTGTGGCCCATGGGCCCTCGCCGTGCACTCTGCCCCTGCGCCCTGGGCAGGGAGGTCCCGGGGGCAGGCTGCCGAATACGGCCGGCAGCGGCTGGCTGGAAGCGAGGGGACTTTGGCTCAGTGGCCGGGGCCTGTGGGCCGCGGGGAGCCGGGGCGGGGGTTGGGGCGAGGTGCCGTCGGCGTACTGGAGCTCAGCTCCTCTGGTCAGGTATGTCCTGGCCCTGCAGACCGCGCAAGAGCGCAAGAGCGAGTCAGAAGGGGCCTCCCGGGCCATCTAGTCTGACCTCCGGCACCAGCCGGCTCTGCTCACGACGTGCCCACCATGTGGATGTCCAGCCTATCCTTGAACACCTGCACACTCAGCCACCTCTGTGGAAGCCCATTCCACACCCTCGGGGTCCCAACTGTCAGGAAGTGCTTCCTGGCATCTAAATGGAATCTGGGTTCCTTGAGCTTGGCTCCATTGGAGCGCATCCTGCCCTCCTCTGCAGGGGAGAACGGGTCTCTTCCCATCTCCGTGTGACACCCCCTCACATACCTGTATGTCGCCAACAGATCCCCTCTGAGCCTCCTCTCCTCCAGGCTGAAGAGACCCAGTTCCCTCAGTCTCGCCTCACATGGCGTCCCCTGCAAACCGGCCACCAACCTTGTGGCCCGACGCTGCACTGACTCCAACCTGACTATATCCTTCCTGTAATGAGGGGCCCAAAACTGAGCACAACACTCCAGTTGCGGGCGCACCAGAGTCGCACAGAGTGGCAGCAATACCTCTCTGGATCTGGAAGCCACACTTCTGGCTATGCAACCAAGGGTGGCGTTCGCCCTCTTGGCCACCGCATCACACAGCTGTCAACCAGCCTGCGGTCAACCAGCACCCTGGGGTCCCTTTCACAAGTGCTGCTCGTGGTCTTATTTCACAAGTGCATAAGACCTTGCACTTATCCGCATTGAACGCCATCCTGTTGTCTCCTGCCCACTTCCATAGTCTGTCCAGATCCTCTTGGATCTGGAGTACCTGCTCCTCAGTTGTGGCCACTGCTCCAGTTTTAGTGTCGTCTGCAAATTTGATCAGCAGACAGTTCACCCTTCTTCCATGTCATTGATGATAAGATTAAACAGGATCGGCCCCAGGACAGAGCCGTGGGGGACCCCGCTTGTCACTGGCCGCCATCCCGATGATTCCCCACTAATGGTTACCCTCTGCAATGAACAACGAACAAGAGACAATTAAACAGTGCACAGCTGAGGGCAGTGAGTTAAACCTGTACATATTAAACAAACAAGTTGACATTATCAGAATAAAATCAATTATTAAAATGCCCGGAGAAACAAAACTGTTTTTGCCTGGGGCTGAGGGCTCCAGGCGAGTGGCTTTGGGGGGGGCTGTTCCAGGAGTGGGGCGCAACTGCGGAGAAGGGCCCGCTTTGTCAGCCGACCTCCCTGCCTCCTTGGGGGAGGGCTCTTTGGGAAGGGCCTCTGAAGCAGATCTCGGGGCCAGGCAGCGCATCCGGGAGCGGGGGCCTTGGGGTGCCCCTGGCGTACCCCAAGCCGTGTCTCTGGTCGCTGCAGGTACGGCTGCCACATTTCCCGGACCTCTTATTTCTTGTGCTACGATCCTGCCACCATCAAGAGGATATTCGAGAGGCTGCGGAACTTCGATCTGCCCAACACGTACCCTGCCTGCTGTGGCACCTACGGCGTCCTGGACGTCCGGGATGTCACCACGGGGTACGACAGCAGCCAGCCCGACAAGCGGTCGGTGAGTAGCGTGGCGTGTTTGCTCCGCCCGGCGGCCTCCGACTCGCCTGTTTCGACCCGCAGCCACACGCAGGGCGTCCGTGGGAAGCCGTTGGTTCTTCCTTGGGCTTCCCGTGGGGGAGGTCAGAGAGGAGCCGGTGGGTTTGGCTGTTGCTGGAAGGAAAGGCCGGGTCCACCCGCACGGTCGACCTGGCTTGCAGCCACGGGGCTCGCTGCTTTTGGACGGGCACCCGGAAAAGATGCCGCTTGCGCAGCTGGGATGACCCTAACGAGCTCATCATGGCGGCAGGCGGGAGAGCCGGGGGGGAGGGGGGAGGAACAGCTTCTGGGAGGCCCTGTTGACAGAGCGGGGTGGGAGGTGCGGCCAGTGGCCCAGATTCGGATCCGGCTGATCTCGTTGCGGCAGGTGTTGCCCGTGAGCAAAAACAGCCAGATGATCACCTTCACCTTCCAAAACGGCTGCGTGGCCACTCTTCGGACGAGCGGAACGGAGCCAAAGATCAAGTATTACGCAGAGATGTGTGCCGCGCCAGAGCAGAGGTAGGGGCCCTGGCCTGCCTCGTCGCCAGGGTGGGCCGGCTGCTGGCCCGCCTCTGGTCCCGGGCAGCGGTCGGCTGGAGCCCGGCCCCCGCGGAGCGGAGGGCCACCCGGCGCGTGATCCGAGCCCGGCCTCGTCGCTGCACGGCCTCTGGCCAGGCCGCGGCACAGCCAGCCGTTCCCGTCCTTCCTCCTCTCTGCGAGCCTGCCCCTCCTCGAAGGAAGGATCCCGAGGCGCACGCGTGTCCTCGTTGCTCCCTCCGATCTTCACAATGCCCCCGTGAGGCAGATTGCCTCAGATGAGAGAGGCCGGTCGAAGCTGCCTCGCCCACCACCACCACCTGCATGCGCACCCCGCACTCTCCCTCTCGAGGGAGCCTGGCGTGGCTCACAGGCGTCACCTGCTTCCCGCCTTCGCCTCACGCTGGCAGCCCTGCCAGGTAGGCTCGGCTGGCAGTGAGTGACTGGCCCAGCGTCGCCCAGTGGGGGCCGCGGCCGAGCGGGGAGTAGGACTCGGGTCTCTGCGTCCCAGCCCGGCGCTGGTAGCCGCTGCTCCGCGCTCGCTCGCAGCCCAGTGAGCGACGGCCGAGCAAGGACTAGGCTTCCCCTGGCCCGAGGCCAGCGTCGCTCCAGTTGCTGCCGCAGAATGGCTCTTGCCGACGCCTCGCTTGCGTCCGGCCTTTGCTCTTGGCTGTGGCTGCATCCGTCAGACCCGCGCTGCCAGGCCAGGCCTCCCTGAGCCGGCGGGCCTGTCCCTGGGGAGAGAACCAGGCGGACCCCTTGCTTCCCCGCCAGCAGCACGGGGTGATCAGCCCAGCCTGAGAGCTGTGGGGTGGGGAGCCGTCCGTGGCACTGGGCGCACGTCAGTTCCGAGGGGGGGCTGGCGTTTGGGAAGCGGCCAGGGCATCTCCCTGAGCTCGGCTTCGATTGCTCTGCTCTCAGTGACACGGCCTTCCTGGAAGAAGACTTCGAGAAGCTCATCGATGCGCTGGTGGAGCACTTCCTGGAGCCCAGTAAGAATGGACTGATCTGGCGCTCGATGTAGCCCCCCTCCTGCGATCGGCTGGCAGAGCTGCCACTCCATGCACTGTGTCACGTGGAACAAAGGAACCAAGACGAGAACTCCTGTTTGCATTAATTCGATCTCCCTCTCTCGGTCTCCCTCTCCCTCTCTCTTTCGGTCTCTCTCTCTCTCTGTGTGCGTGTGTGTGTTTCCTAGCCAGTGTACCTATATGGAAGCAGTGCTCTTTTGCCAGCCTTCTGCCCAAGGTGGTAGGCAGCTTTGGGCAGGGCTGGGGGTCCCTGCCGGGGACGCGTGATGCTGACCCGAGGGGATCGCACAACCTCTTTCACCACCACACTAAGCAAGTGAATAGAAACCCTTCGTGATTGTTCATGGGCTGCATCTTGGATGTCGGGTATCTAGATTCTTCGATGTACCGCTGCCCTTGGCAGTGGGAAAACTCTCTCCAGGTGGAAGAAGAGATGATTCGGACTGGCAAAAAGTCCTGCTTCTTTGTAGCTCTTTTGAGTGTAGGAATCTGTACTGTGAGTCTTAATTTTTATCAGTCCGTCAGTAGAATCCAGTACTTCAGATTTGCTAGTTCAATCCGAGTTGTTTGGTAGCCATACATTTTCCTGCTATTTAAATCTCCTATTCTGAAAGGTGCTTTTTGTGCATCGGATTCTTATCTGTTTATACGTTTACTGCCGTTTACTCGATGTTTAAACAGCAGTGGCCAGCTCTGCTGCTGGAGGGGTGCTGTGTCTCAGGATGAGAACGGGCCGGGTTGCCCACCTCGGGTCTCTTGGCCCCGGGAAAGCTGGCCTGCCGGACTTCCTGGCCACAAGGTAATGAGCCTGCATGCCAGCCGCAGGGTTCAAAGGGATGCAAAAGGCCTCAGGAGAGCTAAAAATGGACTTGCCGGGGCTGCCTTCACTCGCCTTGCGGAAAAGCCCCTCTGGGCGCTCCAGTTCACAGAGGGTCGTGACACAACGGCAATTGAGTGGCTTGAGTCTAGATGGCATCCTGAAGAGACACCCCCTTCCACTTCAGTCTGCAAATATGCCTTCCCTACTTCTTTCCCAAGAGTGGTTAAAATGGTATCGCGGTTAAGATGACTAGTGATGGAGATTGTTAGTTGCTTTTTAGGACAAAGAAGGTGAGCCTCAACAGTATTTTATTTCCGGGCCTGCTCCTTCCTGCTGCGTGCGCTGTCAGCTCTTCCCGGCAGTGCGCGTTAACCGGCATTTGCTTCCAGACCAGCACAGGCATTATTTGGTACCACGGGGCCGGGGGGGGGGGCTGCAGATTGAGAGCCAGAGCCTCCTCCGAAGAGAGGGGATGTTTTTGGAAGGTCTTGGCGGGGCTGGGCGCCTCCAGAAGAGGTTGGGGTGTGGGGAGGGACGCCTGTGGGTCAGGGCTTTTCATGCTCTCTGTGCTGGAGGCGCTCTTCCGCCGCCTGGGTGTGCCACAGATGCAGGCCGTTTTCAGTCCAGTTGCCGGCACTGGGAGGGACTGGGAACGGCGCTGCTCCGTTCGGCGCGTGCGCAGCGGTGGGGGCCGCGATTCCCTGCACGCCGGGCTGCTCCTTGCAGCAAGGTCTGGGGCACGGCATTGCCAGGCGGGTAGCTAAGAGGCACCGGGGACGGGCAGCTGAGCTGCGCGCAAGGGAGGTCCCGGTGTGCCCCCCCGCGGTGCCTGCCGATTGCGCTTCCACGCTCGATGCTTGTTTCACGCTCCTCTTTGGGCAGCGCCACTTAGGGCGGCTGAGTTCTTGCCGAAGTGAAGTGGGAACCCGTGCCTGGGTCACACCCAGACGAGGGGTACTGCGGCTGGTGGCCTAGTTGCACACTCCGTGCGTCTCCAAAGCACGTTTTCTCACGAGGAGGCATACTGGCATATTTTATGTTGAGCGTGGAAGCTGGTGGGGCTGTTGCAGCTTAGCCTCGCCCTGCCGCTGGCCTCCGTCCCTCCTTTTTCCTGGAGGCCCCTTTTGGCCGAAGCTGGCAAGATGATGGAGGGAGCGTCTCCCGCCAGGCCGTTGGCGCGGGGACTGCAGTGGTGCCAACATCACCAGCCGATCCTGGTTTCCTGCGAATGAGCCGTGCAGCCATGCACACACGGCCTCCCCCGCGCACAAGCGCGCAAGGGGAGCTTTCCGTGATGCCTGGACCCGGGCCTGCGGCCTGCGTCCAAACAAGCCAGAACTTGCAAGCCAGCAAGCAGCTCTGCTTTGCGCCCGAGTTGCAGCCTGGCTCGTTTGGGCACAGGCGGGCAAGGTGCCTGCTCACATTCCTCGCATCCTCTCACCCAGAGGTAGAAGTGAGGCAGCCCGCGCCGGAGCCTCGCTTGCTCTCGGTAGACCTGGGTGGGTCCCCAGTCCCAGCCGGGGCTTTTGGGGGAGCGGTGCCGCCTGGCGCTCTTCCGGCGGCTTTGTGCGGTACCCGCGTCGTAGCTGAATGTATGCGGATAGCAGGGCGCTGCTGGGTTTGGACGAGAGGCGTGGAGCGCCGTTCGGCAGGAGTGCCCCCTTGGCATTTCCGTGGGGCTTGTGCAAGGGGTGTTCCTGGGGGACTTCGCCCTGGATTTACATGCAATATTTATTTATTTATTCTTATTTAAAGCAAAATGCCTTCCAGATGGCCCATACCTTTAAGTGAAACTTCTTGAATGTCGAACCTCCCCCATTTTTTTTACTCTCTCGTTTTTCTTTTTCATTTACTGTATATTTGAAAGTGCTGCCGTGTAGAGAGGAAAAATTATGAGGAAGCCCTAACATGGCGATTTCCATTCGTGTGCTGGAAGGCATCCCAAGAAAGTTGGGCTTGCTCTTTGCCTCTTGGAAGTTCTGTCATCCGTGGTGCCCACCCTGAAGCGTGCCGCTTGGGTACAGAAGGAGCCAAACTGAATGGCTTAGTGATTGCGGAAGGAAGGTTCTCCCCCGTAGCGTGAACAAATAAATGTACCGCAGTAAGGTTTTGGTTTAATTTGTGAGTGCTCTCTCCATACAGCAGCCTTCCCTTTGGGCTGCGGCAGCCACAGTTCCCGTGGCCGTTCGGCCAGCGAGGGGGCTGCAGTCCACTGCATGGGGGGGGGGCATCGGGATGGGGGAGGTGGCTGCTGAGCCTGGTCCTCTGAGCTCGCTTGGCAGGGCAAGCACGCTGGCAGTTGCGAAGAGCGCTGCTCTTTCCTGGACTTCCACGGGGAGGAGGACCCTGTGCCTGTGCGAGGCGAAGACCACCGCCGCTCTGCTTTGTCCAGTGGCGTGAGATGGCCGACCGGTGGAGGCTTTTCATTGCTCTGATCTGCTGCTGTGGGGATGCTTTCCACTGATCAGAATGTTGGAAACCCGATTCCATTCGGGAAGCCTCTTTGCTCCCCTCCCCTCCTCTCCCCTCCCCTCCCCAACTGGCTTCTCGCGGCAGCATCGTGGCCCTGCGGCTCCATGGGCCCCCTGCACCTTTCCGTTGGGGGGCCTCTTGCCAGATGGCAGGAATACCCACAGTCAGGCCCGAAGGACAGCTTCCTCGGCTGCCCCGTCAGAGGCGCAGTGTGGCTTCTTTGCGACGCATCTTCTGGGTGAGGCGCTGGTGTGGCACGGCTTTGCCAGTTGAGTGTGCAATGACAATTGATCGGGTGGCGGCTGTTCTCCTCCGATCCTGCATTTCTTTGCTTTAATTTCCTTTGTTCTGGACTGTTAAGACAATCTTCTGTCTCATGAAATCCTGTAGCAGAGCCCCCTTTGCTCTCTCTCCATGCAATTAAGATACCGGCCGTGACAAACGCACCGGGCCCCCACACCGCATGTCCCAGGGGCTCCGTGTGCCACTTGGCCGTGGAACGAGCTGGGCGGCCACTTTCCTGCCCAGCAAGAAGCGCTCTGGACGGTCCTCCTCCTCTTTTCTGCTGGGGCAGCGCATGGAGGCCCCTGCACTTGGCGTGGGCGCCAGCAGCCCCCTCTGCTCCGCCAGGCTTCTACCGAGGCTGCCGGCAAAGCCGCTCACGTGCAGCGGCTGTGCAATGCACCGGACTGCGTTTTGGCGGGCCCTCGCGGCCACTGGGGGGCATCCGGCTGTGGGCGGCACGTGTGCAAGGAAGCGGTGGCCGGGGAAGCCCCTTTTCCCAGCCCTGGCCGTAGGTGCGCTGCAAAGGAGCCTCTGGAGCTGCCGGGGCCCGTCCAGCTGGCGTTGCCCAGCGCCCGACGCCACCCGGGTGGTGGCGGGAGCGGGAAGGGCTTGGCGCAGGGGCCTGGCTGTGGCTGGAGGGTCCCGCAGATGCTGGCGGCCCCTTTGGGCGCACCCTTCCAGCCCAGGGAGCGGAACTCTTCGTCATCTTGGAATGGCCCTGCTTCTCACGGCCGCGAAAGATGCTCCTGGCCAGGTGTGCCCGCACCCATCGCTCAGGTGTGTCGGGGCGTGTGGCGCATGCACCCAGCTACAAAATACACCATGCAGAAACCAGAAGGAAGCGAGCTATTCTGCAAATCGCTCCGCCAGCTTTCCAGCCCAGTTTGCAGCCCATGTGGCCTGAAGGGCGGGGGGTTTTAACCCGGGCACCATCCAGTCTGTGGCATGGCTTTCAGGGCACTCTCTCTGCATTCCCCCCACTGGGATGAGCGAATCACCACAATCTTGGCCCCTCATCAGTGAAACTTAATTACTGCCAGAGAACCTGTTTGTTATCCTTCTGTACTTTCAAATGTGCTTTTCTGCCTAAGAGACAATGGGTGTATTGTAAGCGTGGACTGAAAATTTGCACTTTTATTTCTGTTGGACGTTGTTTGTGTCTGGATTATGACATGGATTTAATTCAATGAAGTGTTAAGTGAATAAAGCATTCTCTTCATAGATGTGTGCTTCCAGGTTTGGTTTGTTCAGCTTCCTGACAATCATTCTAGTGGCTTCTATCCTGGAAGGAAGGAAAGCAGAAAACCTCCATGGCTCTACCGTCTGACTGGGGAAAGGCAAACAGGAACGATTTCCCCGGAACCACCCCTTTGCCACCCTCCAGCCCAAAGCCGCCTCTTTCCCAAATGAAAGCCAAGTGCTCTTTTGCTAGGACTGTAGCACTCATGCAGCCTTTCATACGGGCGGGGCGTGTGTGTGGGGGGGGGGCAGGAATTTATTTATAAAACACTGTGTGTTCATTTTTACATGTTCAAACTTCAGCCACCTTCAAAGCACTCTCCATTTGATGCCAATCACTCGTCGAGAGTTTTTTTTCCACTGCTCAAAACAGGTTTTGCACTCGTCGAATTTGATGCCCTTTAGTGCTTCTTCTGGTTTTTGTTTCGCCTCTTCCACATCGGCAAAACATTCCCCTTTGAGGACTTTTTTCACCCAGGAAACAGAAAAGTCTCATGGGGTGAGATCGGGTGAATAGGGAGGCTGGGGCACAAACCGCGGTTTTGGTCAAAACCTCTTCAGCGCTCCGTTGAACAAAATTTCAGCTCCGCACGTTGTTTGTGTAAATCAGCTACACGAAATAAGCAAATGCGTTGAGTCTCCGAGAAACCTCACCGAAGGCAAGCACAGCCTCTTGCAAGAACCCACCTGGCTACACTGGTGCAGGTGGGCTCCTGGAACACTCACCTGGCGGGGAAGGGCCTGCACTCCCAGCGGCTCCAGAGGATAATCTCTGGTCCTGCCTTGTACATACGAGCAACCATCCCTGCGGACCTGGGGAAGGGACTGGGCGCCGAGAAGGTTGCGCGGACAGTTGGTCGTGCCTCCGTTGAGCCACAGTGGAGGGGAAGGGGCCGTCCGGGGAAGGTCTGCTCGCTTGGCGGCAAGCCCTGGGCGAGCCAGCCGATGCCCAGCCTGCCACGCACGGCCTGGTGTTCACGGTCTCGACTGGAGGCATTTCCCACGCCCGATTTTGCAAGCCCTTTATGGGCTGTCGGCACCTTTTCACTCCTCGGGTTGCCAAACCTCTGACTTGTTGAAATCGGTGCCTCGAAGAAGGTTCCCATTCCTCTGGAGGAGAGAAAAGAGTGTGGTCCAGCCCCCCCACCCCCCACCCCAGTACCCCCCAGGATGTCCTCTGGAATTTCAGGATGGGAGACCGCTGGGTGCAAGCGCGCCAGTCCTGTGATGAGTCACTTCCCAGTGAGGCAGGCCCGCCTGGGGACGGGCGGCCAGGGCAGGCGCGGGCGACTACTTCATCCCGTTTCTCTACTGCTCAACAGCCAAAGCGCTCTTGGTGGGTTCCAATAGGGCATAAGGCCGCAGTGAAATGCAAGATGCCATAAACCTTCCTAGAAACAAAGGATGAAGCAGCCAAATCCACGCAGTGAAGACGAGCCCTGTGGCAGAAACGTACCTTGTCTGGGTCATCCCCTGAAGCCCTGGGATACCGGAGTCCAGCCTTGGAAGTCTTGGTGCAGAAGGCCGTCTTCACCTGGTGCTGGAAAGATAACAAGGTTTATTTATTTATTTTATTTATTTAAAACATTTCTATGCCGCCCCCATCGCAACAAAGCCTCGGGGCGGCTCACAAGAAAAACAAAAACATACAAAATCATACAAAAATTATACACTAAAAATATTAGAACCCGGTGCATCTCGGCTTAAATTTTTTTAAAAATCCTACATAATAAATTAACACTTAAAATAAGTTTTAAATAAAAAGGTCTTAGCCTGGCGCCAAAAAGCAAATAACGACGGCGCCAGGCGGACCTCTCTGGGGAGCGCATTCCATAGATTGGGCGCCACCGCAGAGAAGGCCCTCCTCTGAGTACCTACCCTCCTAATTTCTTTCCCGGAGGGTTCCCGGAGAAGGGCCTCTCCCGCTGATCTCAAGGGAGGCCGGGCATATATGGACGTAAGTGCTCCTTCAGATAACCAGGTCCCAAGCCGTTTAGGGCTTTATAAGTCATAACCTACAGCTTGAATTGGGCCCAGACTCCAATCGGGAGCCAGTGGAGCTGACGGAGAACTGGGGTTATATGAGAACAACGCCCAGTCCCCGTCAGCAGCCTGGCAGCTCTATTCTGCACCAACTGAAATATCCGGACCATCTTCAAGGGTAGCCCCACGCAGAGCGCATTGCAGAAGTCTAATTGGGAAGTTACCAGCGCATGTGTCACTGTCGCCACGCAGTCATTCTCCAGGAAGGGACGCAGCTGATGTATCAGCCGAAGCTGAAGGAAGGCACTCCTCGCCACCGCTGTCACCTGAGCTTCTAGAGACAGCTCCGGGTCGAGGAACACTCCCAAGCTGTGGACCCTGTCCCTCAGAGGGAGTGCAACCCCATTTAAGACAAGGCCCAAGTCCCCCATCCTGGGTCCCGAACCACCCACCAACAGGTGGGTGCCCGGCAGGCCATGGTGGGGAAGTTGTTCCATCTGCCGGGGGCCACTGCAGAGAAAGCGGTTCCTCTAGCTGCTACCCTCGAAGCCTTCCCCGAAATCGGTGCTTGGGGGAAGGCCCCGAGGGTGAGCATCACGCCTGGGCAGATTACAGCTGGGGGAGGTGCTCCGTCACGGTGGTCCCGAGCCATGCAAGCCTGCATGGGTTCAAAGCAGCCCCTCAAACTGGGCCCAGAGGCAAGCAGGCAGACAGCGCGAGCAGGCCAGCACTGGGGTTGAGCCTGGACCTCCAGGTCCCAGGTATTGATCTGGCTGCCATTTTCAGCCTGAAGATACCGGGCCAGCTCCTCACCGTCTTCCTGCCTTAGACTGAAATCAGCAAACATCAAAACCTGTTAAATTCCGCACCTCCTGCTTGTTTTATTTATCTGTCACTCAAGATCTTGATGCATCATGTTTTTCCAATGTTCCCCTGAAGATGATTCAATGTTTCTGTGTTTTCCTTTTGTGCTTCTCTTGTTCTTGTATTTCGATTATTTAAGGTCTCATTCCCCTCTCTCTCATCGGAACGTGATTGCAGGTCCAAAAACACTCTGAACATGCTCTGATCCACACAGCTGGCCCGCTACTCAGTGCCGTTGTGTTGATTTCGGTTGCTGTAAATAAACTGTTGAGTGCTGAATCGTATGTTTCCACTGAACCGGAGTATTCATTCCAAGCAGGTCTGGAAGCCTGACACGCGTGGTTCCTGCAGCCATCAACACAAGGCCTCATTCCTCGGGTGCTTTTCGTATCGAGATCTTTTGCAGACTATTAATCGAGCCCATGCTGTGTTTGCAGCGCCGAACAACCAGCAGCTCCAGGAAGCGCTCCCTCCATTTAGTCGGCCATCTCTTTTCCAGCCATTTTTAAGCGATTCGTTTGGGCCCTACAATCTGGACCGACAGGAAACCTCTGGGTGATCCCCCGTCATATATGTGAAGACGAGCAAGGGTCTCTTTGCTGGGCCAAAGCACCCCTATGCCTGGAAGGGTTCCCCCTGGGCCCCCTGCCCAAGGCCCTCGCCGTCCCCATCCTCTTTCTCCAGGCGTGTTCCCGCTTGGGGACTTCGTATCCCCCGTGACCTGGGCTGCCTGGAATGGGATTCAGTGCTCCAGGTGAGACCAGCGCCCAGCAGGACCGGTGCCACGCTTCGCTTTCCACCAGCGAAGCACCGACCACCTGGTGATGTTTCCCAGAACCGGCTAAAACGCCGCAGTCGGCGCAGGTGAGCACATGCCCTCCAGCACCCACAGCTTCAAGCATTGCGCCCAGAACGCCCGGAAACACGCCGGGAAGGCCGCCTCGGCCCAATTCCACTCGCAGTTCCCAACTCGGTGCGCTTGGTGGCGCTGTGCCCTAACTCCAACCTGCAGCAAGGCTTTGTGTGTGTGTGTGTGTGTGTGTGTGTGTGTGTGTGTGAGAGAGAGAGAGAGAGAGAGAGAGAGAGAGAGAGAGAGAGAGAGAGAGTCTACACATGCATTTCTGTGCTCCCCTGCTCTGCACACATGCACAGACCAATTGCAAACAGAGTTTAAATGCTGCCTTTGTTTCAAACCTCTGCTGTTAAGACAGCGGAATAAACTCACCAGAGCTGCTCCTTGAAACCGCCTTGCCTTGCACACGGTTTCTGCTACTCATGAGCCAAGTGCAGATGAGGACCAGATCCTCACAGGGCTGAAAAGGGAGCCCTTGCACTTCAGGGGTAGATCTTTCCTGAGCGAGGCGGTTCTTCCTCTGCGCACAAGGTAAAGCAGGCACAGGACAGCAAGCATATTCGGTCCGTGTGCAGAAGGCGATAAATGAACGCCTAATCAATGTCAGTTTGGTTTACAAAGATATTGCAATGGTATTGGAATGCAGCCTGGAATTATTGCAAAATTTTAAAAATGCCGGCACGAGACCTGGGTTCATTACTTTCAGGAATTACGGGCTTACTAGATCTGACCTACACGCCACCCACAGCGGTGCCTCTGTTTCTAGGAGAAGGAACTATGTGGCAGTATTTTGCGATTTAACATCAGATTATTACCTACACCGGAGAGGGCAGGATGGAACCCGGGCCTTTCTACTTCCAACGTGTGCGTCCCCTGTGCGCCAGGGCCTAAAAAGAAAGATTCTAGTCCTCATGGGGAATGACTTAAATAGGAAGCTGCCTTACCTGTCAAACTGTCAGACCATCTGTTGGTACTGCTCACCTTGCCTAGAAACAGAACCAGAGCGAGTCAGAAGGGGCCTCCCGGGCCATCTAGTCTGACCCCCGGCTCCTGCCGGCTCTGCTCAGGACATGCCCACCATGTGCATGCCCAGCCTGTCCTTGAACACCCTCCCCGGTGGGGCCTCAGCCACCTCCCAGGGAAGCCCATTCCACACCCTGGGGGTCCTAATTAGGGGCAGCTGTGCGGGGTGTCAGGCAAGAGCTCTTCTCTAGCCCCAGAGCCGCCCCTCCGGGAACGGGAGGCTCTTGTTCACAGCATGTGCGCTGCCTTTCCCAAGGGGTG